GGGGGGCCCGGGCTCCGGAGGAAAAGGTTGGCAATTTTCCACAGTAAAGCGGCGGTGGATCACGCTCTCTCCTCCAAGGCATCATTGGGTTTGGAACAGAGGCGCCGCAAAGGCGTGCTTGGTACGACAGTATCCGAAGTTCCTGGTATACTTGGTGAACGCCATGAGCGCCTCGGCAGCTAACAGTGGAACTATGACCACTTGTATGTTGACGATTCTTTTGGATATTGACAGTACTATCGATATCGTTGGATTAAAGGCGGCACAGACCTTTGAGGAGGTATCACGTTCCTACGGACACGCCGTTAAAAAGGCTGAACCTCGCGAAGAGGAGTGGGGAGCTTTTCGGTCTTCTTGGCGCAGTTCGGCGCGAGTCTCCTCCCCCTCCGGGGCCCCGCAGCGTTCTGACCCCGGTCGCTGAGCGACGGTGGTGCGCTCAAGGTGCGAATCCTGCCGTGGCCCCGGGGTGAGTTCTGAGGCTCGCGCGTGCTGGTGCCGTCGTTTCCGAGGGGTCCTAAGCTCTTTCAGCAGCTTTGGCCAACAGGGAATAACAATACAGCGCGCCCTTGTTGAGTGAGACGACCAAGGATTGGGCTTGCTTTTATTCCCGCAGAGCTTGCGGTCATAACCCCGCCCGCACACGCATAAATGCGTTTACGGTTGATGTGTGGGCTAAAAGGGGCGAGTGTTTGTTGGCCGCATTCGATCTCGCGGCAGCAGTTCTGGCCCTCCCGCTTGCCGCCCTGTTCTGTGACGTGCGCCCGCTGCAGCTCGTAAGTTTGCTCGTGTGTGTAAAGACTCGCGTGGGCTAGGGGAGCTTTTCTGTCTTCTTGGCGCAGTTCGGTGCGAGTCCTCTCCCCCTCCGGGGCCCCGCGGCGTTCTGACCCCGGTCGCTTGACGACGGCGGTGCACTCAAGGTGTGATTCCTGCCGTGGCCTCGGTGTGAATTCTGAGCCTCACGCGCGCAGGTGCCGTCGTTTCCGAGGGATCCGAAGCTCTTTCAGCAGCTTTGGCCAGCAGGGAATAACAGTAAAGCGCGCCCTTGTTGAGCGAGGCGATCAAGGATTGGGCTTGCTCTTATTCCCGAATAGCTTGCGCTCAGAATCCCGCCTGCGCACGCATCTATATACATGTATTTAGACAATGCGACCCCGGGGCCCCGGTTCTGGCGCCCGACGTCGAGCGGTAGCTCGGGGGCTCCAAGATGCCCGCGAGACGCGCCTAGACAACCCAGGTCTCCTCAGAGAGCCCCAGCGCGGCAGAAGGCCCCGGAAGACAGGTCCGAGACCCTGGCCCAGCAGTTTCGAAGCTCCATGGGGCAACCGCGGCCCTCAGGGTGCGTCCGGGAGCTCTTATCCTGAGGGTCCAAAAGGGCTCCGACTCGGCCGTGGGGCGTGCCAGGACGACCCAGGGTGGCTTCAAGAAAGACAGTATCAGGGGTTTCCGAGGCGCCTCAAGGCGCTCCCAGAGAGCCCCCAAGAGGGCCCGAGAGGCAACAGGCACATTTTGTTTCCAATGGTTTCGGGTGCTTTTAGCATTCTCGCCTTTTCGGCTCAGTGACCTGCCGAGACGGTCCAAGAGGCTCCGAATGCCGATCCAAGATTGCCCCAGAAGCTCGCCTTCCCAGGAGGTCCCCGGTATTCCTGAGTGGATATCCAAGAAGAGTTCGCGAGGGCCCCCAAAAACCCCAAGAGGGAACGAAGAGCAACCCGGCGCCGACATTTCGCGCGCCGAGGGTGCACAACAGGCGAGAATGTGTGGCAAAGCCCGGCTTCTTGGGCTCCCAGGGGGCCTCCTTGCGCCGACCTCCGAATGTGTTTCCGCTGGTCCCCGCAGGCCTCTGGAGGCCGCAGCAGGGCCAGTCGCTTCCAAAGCCGTCGCACACTTTTATGAAAGGCGGCGGCGGCGACGACGGCCATGATGACGATGACGACCACGACCGCGACCACGACCACGACCACGACTGCGATCACGACCACGGCGACTACGACGACCGCGACGACACCACGACTTCCCACGGTCTCCAAAGGTCTGACGACTCCGACTACGACCACGGCGAAGACGACTAACTCCATGGCCTCCAAGGGTATCCGGAGGTCGTCGGAGAATGTTTCCGCGAGCTTCTGGACGCCTCTAGATGCTACCAGAGGCCGTAGAAGAGCCTGATTCGTTCCAGACGTACAATCACAATCACGTCCCAAAGCGACGACGACGACGACGACGACGACGACGACGACGACGACGACGACGACGACGACGACGACGACTACGACGGCGGTGGCGGCTGCACCGCGGTGGCGGCGTCCAGGTAGTGATTCCCCCTTCTCGAGAGTATCCCTCCTCCCGTTCATGTCTCGTGATGTCGCCTTCGTGCTCGACTCGAGCTTGAGCGCGCGCGTAGCACGCGCGCGATTGTATACATATATATATGTGTATATACACATAGACACATGTACATATGTATCGCTCCGTACCTCGTTTCTCTCTCTCTCTCTCTTTTCCTCTCTCTTTCTCTCTCGCTTTCTCCCTTTCCCCTCTAGTTCCTCTGCCTCTCTGTCTCCCTGCATATTAGTAGATCGCTCTTTCTTATCATCTCGCTCTTTCTCTCGCATTCTCCATGCATGTCTTTCACTCTCTCTCTCTCTCTCTCTTTCTCTCTTTCTTTCCTTCTCTTTTTCGCTCCCTTTCCCCCAACCTTCTCTCTCTTTCGCTGCCCGTTCCGCTCTCACTCTCTATCTCTCTCTCGCCACTGCTCCGTCCCTTTGTCTCTCTCTCTCTCTCTCTCTCGCTGTCGCTGTTTTCCGTTCGTGTCGCTCGTGCCCTTCGTGCCCCTTGCAGGCAAGCGTCCCTTGCCGATGGGCGGCGCAGGCATCGGAGGCCTGCCCGCCCCCCCCCAGCTGCGGGCTCTTCGCAGCACGCGTCACGGCTCGACAGCAGCAGCAGTGGTGGTGGTGGTTGCGGTAGCGTGGATGTGTGCACAGAGTTCTCGGTATTAGGCAGTGCCTAGCACGTAGTATTTAGCAAGAGAAGGATGAGGAAGCCGAGGAGGTGGATGGAATTGCGCGCCGTGCGACGCGGTCGCGCCGCGCACTCGACTCATCTTTGTGGTCGGAGCTGCGCGCACGACCCGTCGCGGCGCTTCCGCGGCGCCACCGCGCGCGCGGCCGCCTCTGAGAGGGATGGGTAATTGGGAGGGTGGGGTTGGACGAAAGGGGGGAGGGGAAGACGAAGTGGAGGAGGTGGACGGAGGGAGGAGGAGGGAGGAGGAGGGAGGAGGCCTACAACAATTTATATCGTCATTGTGGGACGGGAAGCTGCCCACCAGAAGGCAACCGTCTGAAAATTCTCAATCGTGGCAGAACACCATTCCTGGGACATCAACGCCGCCGATCGTCGTGACTGTTGCGTCCTGCTGATCCAGACTCGTGCCAAAACATCTTTCCTGGGACTTCAACGGCGGGGCTTTCCACTCTGCTCAAGAGTCACCATTGGGCCCTGGGCATTCCTGCCTGCGCCGCACTGGGCGTTTCTAATGCGACACCGCCTGGGGTCAACGCGCTGACATCGTCTTTAGACGGCTGCCTGCAGGCGATAGATTGCCACTCGTGGTCGCACTTTTCCCCAATCAGAGCTTGCTTCTGTAGGTGTCCTAGCGGATTCGCATGGTTAGGTGAGGTGCGTCGCCGATTTCGTTGGCCGGGGGTGCCCAGAGGTGCCCGGGGGTGCCCGGAGGTGCCCGGGGGTGCCCGGGTGCTCTATCGCCCTATAGTTCAATCGCCTTATAGCCTTATAGCCCTGTAGCCTTATAGCCCAATAGCCCTATAGCACAATAGCCCTATAGCCCTGTAGCCCTATAGCCCTATAGCCATGTAGCCCTGAGCCCTATAGCCCTATAGCCCTATAGCCGTATACCCCTATGACCCTGTGGCCCTTATAGCCATATAGCCCATATAGCCCATATGGCCCTATAGCCCTATAGTCCTATAGCCCTATTGCCGTACAGCCCTGTAGCCCTATAGCCTACTAGCGCTACAGCCCTATAGTCCTCATGGCCTCCATAGCCCTTGAAGACTTTATAAACCTAAGGAGCAATTACAAAGGCATCTCATGTAAGATCATGAACATACCCTGATTGTTCCCAACCCTCCTGCGTTGGGTACTCGTTTTGAATAGAGCACTGCGGTCTCCACCTTCCTTCCTTCCTTCCTTCCTTCCTTCCTTCCCGCCTCCTCCCGCTTGCCTTTTACCTAGGGGCGGCGATCTGCGAGACTGTCGTCACTTTCGAGGGCTGCTGGGGGGCCCAGCGGAGTGACGCCCTAATTACGGGGATTCAGATTAGACCTCGCCATCCCTGGGGGGCTGCGATCTGTGAAACTGTCGCCACTTTCGAGGGCTGCTGGGGGGCCCAGCGGAGTGACGCCCTACGGGGATTCAGATTAGACCTCGCCATCCCTGGGGGGCTGCGATCTGTGAAACTGTCGCCACTTTCGAGGCTGCTGGGGGGCCCAGCGGAGTGACGCCCTACGGGGATTCAGATTAGACCTCGCCATCCCTGGGGGGCTGCGATCTGTGAAACTGTCGCCACTTTCGAGGCTGCTGGGGGGCCCAGCGGAGTGACGCCCTACGGGGATTCAGATTAGACCTCGCCATCCCTGGGGGGCTGCGATCTGTGAAACTGTCGCCACTTTCGAGGGATGCTGGGGGGCCCAGCGGAGTGACGCCCTACGGGGACTCAGATTAGACCTCGCCATCCCTGGTGGGGCTGCGATCTGTGAAACTGTCGCCACTTTCGAGGGCTGCTGGGGGGGCCCAGCGGAGTGACGCCCTACGGGGACTCAGATTAGACCTCGCCATCCCTGGGGGGCTGCGATCTGTGAAACTGTCGCCACTTTCGAGGCTGCTGGGGGGCCCAGCACAGTGGGTACCCACGGCGGACTCAAATGGGACCTCGCCATCCCTGGGGGGCTGCGATCTGTGAAACTGTCGCCACTTTCGAGGGC